GGTAACCCGGTGTGCGGGGGGCATCCCTGCGCCAGTCGACAAAGGCTTCCTAGTCGACCGCAGCGCATCCAGACTGCTCCGATCTGCTGACAAACAGCTGATCATCAGCTGGTCAGCAGCGCGCGGCAGCCATTTAAATTTAAATGAAGCCACGATTGTTTAAATCGTGGCTTCATTTCCCTTTTCCGAACAAACAAATCTACATGGCTCCGTCGACGGAGCCATGTAGTCTAGACGTACCCTGATTGTTAACACCTTTCCTCCTACAAAAACCCTTCCTGTCACCAAAGAGGCCTGGGTCTCACAATTCCGAGTCTCAGAGAAATGTTTCCCCACATTGGGTATCTGTAAAGACTTGTTATAAGTTGCCACACAGACAGAACATTTAATTTTTCTTGTACCATGAAGGCTTTACAGAGCTGTGTCATACCTGTACCAGGGAACAGTCAGTAAAATTAGGCTGTAATTAAAACCCAACGTTATTTCCCATTACACTGGACAGCAACTCTGTACCTTGTACTCCTGGGCAGCTTCCTTTATGGGCACCACCGTGTGAGCCTGGGATCTGTCACACACCACACAGATGGGAGTTTGATCCTCTTCATGGAAGAGCTTCAGAGCCTCCTGGTGCTTACTGCACACCCTGTCACATTTTGCTCTCTTTGCTGCCTGGAAACTCAGCGGCTTGACTAGTTCCACCACTTTTGCCAGCTCCCTGTTAGACTGGAGGGGTCCCTGCTGCACAGTGTCTCTGCACTGAGGGCTGAGGTAGTCCTGGTAGACATTGTGCCCACACTCCAGAGTGACAGGGGCTGTGAAATCCTCCAGACAGACAGGATGCATCGCTTTCTCCCAGAGACTTTCCACAGGGCTCTCTGCAGCCATGGCTGCTTCTGGGCTGGAGAACAGGGGTAGTTCAGTTTCCCGAGCTTATCAATGCATGGGCAGGTCCAGAGTGTGTGTCCGTGAGGCACCAGCACTAATGATAAAAAAAATCAAAATTAAAAACTCACCCCCCCAAAAGCTTTGCTCACCCATTGCGCATGACAGGTCCTCCATTGAGCACCCTCAGCCACCTGCCCCAGCCAGAATCCTGTCTCTGGGCTCCCTCCTCATGCCAGGGCTCCCTCCTCATCCTGAGTTCAAATCCCTCCCTACACTCTGCAGTCCCCTCTCACAACACCTGCGTGTGTCCCCAGCTCGAACCCAGCTCTCAGCCACCCCAGCACCGCAGCCCAGTATGAGCATCTGAAAGTAGCAACAGCCAGAGAAAGATGGGCCGCCCTGCACTGCGCTGAATGTGCATAATTCAACAACAGAGGAGGGAGCAGCGAGCCAGCCTGAGGCAAGGTCCCTGCCCAGCCGGAGCAGCGCCCCAGCG